TATTTTTTCAGACTAAGAGTTTGTTTTCATACCTGACAGTTTCGACTGCTCACTCGTGGTCTTCATCAGAGTTGAGGTGTTTGACGGACAGAGGAAAACAAACACCGTTTTTGGATTAAAGAGGCAATCGAAATAAGGAAACGTGCCCATGGGACTATAAACCGGGATGAGGGGGCTTTTTTACTGTCACACACTCTGGGGTACTGTCCAGACACAGGAAGTCAGACTGCAGATGGCGCTGTCGTCCTGCCTTCACCGGTAGGAAGACAGCGCCAAAACCTGTTTAAATCAGCTGAGCAGACATGTCACAGCAGCATCACGTGACCACTATACGTAGCATATCAGACTTAGGGATCTGCTGGTTTTCATCTCTCCTTCCACACTTTTAATATGAATGAAGCTAACTTGGCAATCACATGAATTCTAATATGTTTGTTTAGTTTACTCTTTGTGCGTCTCTTCTCATCATTATTGTTTTATTCATGTGCATGGCGGTAGGTAGGTATGCAGGCAGGTAAGGCTCCCCTCCCGTGGCTTTGAGAGAGGCTTTTCTTCAGTCTGTCTGCTGAGGGAACAGGCTCGTGTCCACTTGGGGCACTCCGGGCTTGTATGAGAGAAGACATGTTGCTATGGCGATGGCCGCACACCTGACAGTTTGCAGCCAGCTCTCTCTCTCTCTCTCGCTCCCTCCAGCCAGACCTTCCCTTTTGGACAAACTGTTTTAAGCTCCCCACAAGAAGACTATAGGCATCCAAAATAGTTTCAGGCTTAGTGTGAGTCTCTCCTATACACCTAATGATTAATATTGCATGAATACTGTACATGTACACTGTATGATATCTGAAGGACTTGTTTGGTTTTGCAGGGTTGTCGAAAGTATAAAAAATAAGACATTAATCGATACTAAAACTGGCTTTGAAACTAGATACTCATTTGAGTAAGTATCGATACTAAAGAAGTCACATTCACGAGACAGAAATTAACCTTTTCTGAATAGTTTTAGAATAATCTGGAGGTGACAGACTAGTGTACGCCCATGGACCACTATGGGACCTATCCTGACCACTGAGGGATTACACAGATATAATGCCAGAATGTAATGTAAAAGAAAGTACTATTATTTAGTATTGAAAATCACATTCTATTGTCTAAAAAAATAGTGTTTTTTTAATCATTATGGTATCGGAATTGGTATTGCGTACCGCATTTTTCGGACTATAATTCACACTTTTTCACAGTGTGAGTGGTCTTGCGATTTATACTCCAGTGCAACTTATATATTAAAATTTTCACACTGACAGCCTCAAGAGGGCGCTCTAGGCTTGTGTGTCAGTATCTGCTCCTCCTATTACTCCTGTACCACGTGGCTCTACTGCACATGTCTCCTGCAGAAAGAGCCTCTGTTCTGTCTGTATCCTGTCAGTCGCACCATTACTTCTGTACCACTAAAAATTTTAACAAATAAAGACAGCTGAGAAGGCTGAACACAAGTGCTCCCAAAATGAAAATCATATTGCAAAATATGAAGCTGAAAATGGTAATCCTGCAGCAAGTTTGGAGTGAGTGAGAAACTTGTGACACTGGGAGGATGCGCCATGCAACTTTCCCGTAAGACAAAGCCTGGACTTCAGTGACAACCGAAACCATCCTGTTGGGATTCAAAAAGGCCGAAATAATTCTAACTGGAACTGATGCTGAGTCTGACCACAGCTACACAGAAGAGGAAGCAGCACTCCATTTATCTCTGGTCTGCGAGTTGCTCAGAAGTGACACCATGGATGAAGAAGAATCCAATGGATTCAGTGATTTGGAGTGAGATGGAGAGTTTGGTAAACTTGTTGTGTTCTGTTGTTTATGTTATAGTTATCTGAAGAACTGTTCATATGTGACATTAACAGTCTGTTGTTCTCTGTTCTATTGTTATTACTATAACTTGCCTTTCAAGATGAAATATTGGTTCCAAGAGATTTTATAAAATAAATTTCCCCCAAAAAGTGTGACTTATATATATATATATATATATATATACTTTTTTTTCCTTCATTCCAGAGTGACTTGTAGTCCAAAAATTAGGGTATCACAGCACTACACTACAATACAGTTCAGATCTGTGTCATCCCTATTCACAGAAGGAATTGTTGTATTTTTGAGCATTTATTATGAATAAATGGTAGATGTATATGCTTAAAGTTATACCATGGAACATTCCAGGCAAAGAAATAACATCTCCATGGAGACAAGTATGTAGCGGATCCTCAAACGTAAATGTTGCGCAGTGCACCTATAACGTGACTTTATGCAGTATTGACAGTTGCTCAAATTAGTATCTACTTTCAATATTAGTTTAAGTATCAATTAATATCTGATTTTCAATACTTTTGACAACCCTTAGTGCTGCCCATTACACCACTATTGAACACCTACTTGTGGCATTTGCAGACAGTCAAACAGGGATCTGCATAGCCAGGAGACATCCTATCACAGATTTAATTACCAAAGTCAATTATTATTTAAAAACCAATGAAGTGTTCATTGGAGCTCATTATAAACCAAACTAATTGATATTTTAGAGCTGCATTAACTTCATAAGCCCCTTGAGCTGTGCACACTCTTCACTCACAGAACAGGCACTAAAATACAGTTTAATGTGTCCACCGCCCACACTGTACTACACATGAGCTCACTGCAGAGACGGAGGAAGACACTAGTGGCGAATGTGGATGCCATCTTAGCACAGTAGGATAAAAAAGTAGGTAACAATAAAAAATAAAAAGGTAAGTAAGATAAAGTAAAGGTAGTAAAAAGTAGGATATTGTAGTACATAATATTTTCTGAAATGTAAAAATAAATATTGACCCTATTAAACTAGTTTGTCTCATAAATTTTACTTTCTTACTTTATTTTATTTTTATATAAAACCTTGTAGTTTATAGTTATATCCATGTTTTTTGTTGTTTTCTTAATCACAGATTTGTTCACTTAATGATGGCACAGTGATTAGAGAAATCACCCCAACCCCAGCTCCAACTAATGCATGATGTCATTCTATCAATGAGCAAAACATTTCACTCCGACAGCGTATGTACGAACGTGGCGTGTGAGTGATTTGGTGGGGGATTGTAGGTGCAGCAGATTGACAGCCTATTGATCTGCCCTGTGGATAGCTTGGCATCTGGGTAAGCGCTATAAGACTGATGTATGGGATATATACTGGAAATACTGGGGGGTTATATACACATGGATAATATACAATGCTCAGAAAATTAAACACTTTGAAAACACATCAGATCTCAATATGAAAAAAGTTGGCTCTCTGTACAAATATGAACAGGGCAATTTCTTAGGAACAATTGGATGCCACCTATTTTAATGGGAATGATCAACAGGTGCACTACAGCAGCAACAGTGAGACAACCCCAAAAATAGGCCTGCTTCTGCATGTGGAGGTCACTTCAGGATTCTCCCTCTTGGGCTTTTTGGCTGGTTTTCCACTAGTGCTTCCTTTGGCTAGAGTTATTTTCATGACTGGGGGTATGAAGCCATTCCTTAAACTACACAAGTTGCACAGATTGTCCAACTTCTCCAGGATGGCACATCTGGAGGTGCTGTTGCAAGGAGATTTAATTGGTCTCCCAACACAATCTCCAGAATATTGAGATTTCAGGAGACAGCCAGATACTCCAGAAGAGCTGGACAGAGCTGGACAAGGTACTCAACCCATCAGAAGGACCCCTATCTGCTCATTTGTGCAAGGAGGAACAGGCTGAGCACTGCCTGCGCCCTACAGAATGACCTCCAGGAGGCCACTGGTGTCAATGTCTCTGCCAAAACATTCAGAAATAGACTTCATGAGGGTGGCTTGAGGGCGCCACGTCTTGTAGTGGGTCCTGTGCTCACCACCCAGCACTGTGGAGCACCATTAGCATTTGCTAAAATACACCAGAATTGGCAAGTCCGCCACTGGTGCCCTGTGCTTTTCACAGATGACAGCAGGTTCACCCTGAGCACTTGTGATAGATGTGAACGAGTCTGGAGAAGACTCTGCGGAAGGAGAACACTCTGCTGCCTTCAACATGGTTGAGCATGAGCGGTTTGTTGGTGGGTCAATGATGGTCTGGGGAGGCATATCCATGGAGGGACACACAGACCTCTACTGGCTAGAAAAACGGTATCCTGCCTACCATTAGGTATCGGGATTGAATCCTTGAACCCACTGACCTACGCTGGTGCAGTAAGCCCTGGGTTCCTCCTGATGCACGACAATGCCTGGTCTCATGTGGAAAGAGTCTGCAGGTGGAACCTGGAGGATGAAGGGACTGATACAGCTGAATGGCCCTCACAATCACCGGACTTAAACCCAATAGAACTCTTCCGAGACATTAAGTTTTTGTCCATCAGACGCCTCCAGGTTGCTCTTCAGACTCTACAGGAGCTCAGTGATTCTCTTACACTGATATGGGACGACATCCCACAAGACACCATCCATCTCATCAGGAGAGGCCACAATTTTGTCAAACATGCAGACAAACAAATGGGACCACACAAGATATTAAGAAGCATTTTGAGTTGCAGAAATTACGTTTTGGCTAAATGGACTAGCCTGCCACATTATTATTTCGCTTGGATTTTCATGGTGTCTATGAAATGAACCCCTCTGAAGGCTCAAAATGTTATTTCCATTAAAAGAGGTGGCATCTTTTTGTTGTCCATATTTGTGTAGATAACCACCATAATTTTTTTTCTTCACACTGATATCTGATGTGATTTCAAAGTGTTCCTTTTATTTTTCTGAGCAGTATATAAAGCTAGATCGGATATCAGTTCCATGAAATCGGTTCAGTTTCTTCCTTCAGTTCCTTCTAGTCAAATGCATACTAGCGCTACTACTGCACCACATCACCACATGCAAATGGAAGTGGAAATACAAATTGTCTGTCTGTGGGCTCGCTCTTCATTCAAACATACAAGCGTGTAGTGAAAGCCTATCTAGTATCTTGTACCTGTCTAGAGCCGAACTGAGTTGGTCCAGCTTGTGGGAGGTGTCGCTGGTGTTACTAAGCCTGGTGAGAAAGTCCAGCCTCTTCAGAATGACCTCCATCATGTCCGAGATCTTCTTCAGACCTTCTCGAGACTCCTGCCCCGCCGTGTCTGAAGAAAAACACAAGAACCGACACAAAATCAATATATATGACGCAAACAGAGGAAATATATAGATGGATGAGAATCTGAAAGAGCAATAGTGAGTTGAATGTGTGAAACGAAAAATAAAATGAGCCACATTCACAAAATACTACAAAAGGAAGTACTACATTACTAATCGTTTTTGATGCCCTGAGTCTCACCTCCTTTTGCTCTCCGTGCTAAGTCAGTCCCCCTTCAGAACACCATCACAACCCATTCAGTGTGCAACCCGGTAATGAAACTACTGCACATCAGGTCTGTCAAGTTGCTGTGTACAGTTTTGTATCGTAATTTCTAATCTTCAGTAGGGCTGGGTATTATTCAGAATTTGCCGATACGATACATACCTTGATACAGTAAGCTTCGATACGATTCAATTTCAAATCGAGTTGTACATTTCAATAAAAAAAAAAGGCTAAATCATAGCTGTGATACTAAAAGTCTTTGTTAAACCACAGAGTTAATATGAAACACGCCCATTTTAATCATCAAAACAGTGAATATGTCAAATGTGTCAAATAAACAAGCTTCCTTCCTCTGCACAAGCAACAAAACTGTAGCGCTGTAACAAAATAATTGAGTAAAATATTCAAAAATAATATTCTTGACGATATATCGATACAGCAGCCCACAATATCGATACTGTATTATCAGTAACGATATATAACAATATATCGATATTTCAATATTTTTGCACACCTCTAATCTTCAGGCATATTTTTGATGAGGGAACAATGTTATAAGATCAAAAAAAGCTAAAAAAAAAAAAAAATTATAAATTACATTCACAACATATTACCGTATTTTCCGCACTATAGGGTGCACTTAAAAGCCTTTAATTTAATCAAAAAACTACTGCACACCTTATAATCCAGAGCACCTTATATATGAATTTATTGGGGTGTCTTAGTTCTACTTTAGTAAACTACAAAGCCGCACCACTTGCAGCATTACGGCTGCCTAAGGGATCAGTATCAACTGTGGCCCGAGCTTTCACCAAGACCGGAATCATCACTGAACTGCCAGGGAACAGTAATCACTCTGACTTGGATAATGACGAGAGGGATGCAGGCGTGCTGAACACCGTAATCACCCCAACTGTTTGAACAATTATGAGTTATTGTGAATACGCTAACCATTTAGCTTCTCAGACAGTATTATTTTTACGCAAAGTTGAGAGTTATTGTGAACGCGTTAAATAAAGTTTGACTGACTTTTCTAACTGTTGTGTTTTCGTTTAATGCGCCTTGTAGTCCGGTGTGGTTTATATGTGAAAAAACTTCCAAAATAGACCATTCAATGAGAGTGTAATAATCCAGAGCAGACTATAGTGCGGAAAATACGGTACAAAAAGAAGTATTATGCTGTGTAACTTCTACAGTTATTGCTTTGCCTGGAATGTTGCACAGTTTGGCATTAAACTTTTTTTTTTTTTTTTAATCTTCATAGAGATAAGCAGGTGTCACCATCAGGCAAAGTTACAAATCAGATCTGTGGAGGGTAAGAACTAAAAAGATGAAAGTTTAATGCCATACTACATTCCAGCCAAGCAATGAATTTCTGTGGACAAGCAGCCAATCCCTCACCAGAGAAATCACATAGTGCATCTTTTTCCCTGTGAATCAAGTGACATATTTTTAACAAACTGAAAAGAATTAATCAAGTAGAAGTACAGATAGTAGTCTAGGAAATGAGCAAAAGAGTATTTGGAGAGAATTATCTGCACCAATTAGCAACATTTGAATGTGAGAGAGTGATTCTGAGATGTTGACTTTTTAACAAGAGAAGAATAGCAACACGATTATGATTTGTGAATGACTGACACATGTTGAGAAAATGTTTTAAAATGGATTGATAAGTTCTTAAATTCTTCCCTTCATTGCTTTGTTTTTTTCTCTCCATCGAGTCATGTCAAGCAGACAGTTTTCTACAATCCAACTTTGCTGGCGATGTCTCCTTTTGAATAATTCAAGGCTGAGGCAACAATGTGTCTTCCCCGAGAAAGAAAGACAGATCAGATTTGCAGCCTGACAGCAGCGTTTCAGGATTTATAATAAAATGGTGGATATTAGAATGGGATATGTTTAGTTTATGTGCTACTATGGTAACAACAAACACCAAATAACAACAAAAAGTCCTTAATTTACAAATGAACACGTTAATACCACCATTGATAATTAAAGAAGGGGTATTTTACTTCTGAAACACATAAACAATTTTTAGATCACTGTGTTTGCTGAAAATAATGGATTAACATGTTTAATAAATTACATTTTAATTTTTGATGCTCTGAGTCGCCCCTCCCTTTGCTCTCCGTGGTAAGACACTCCTTCTTCAGAGCCTTCAGGTTTGTCAAGTTGCTGTGTACAGTCATGTTTTTGTAAATTTATGGAAAATTGTCGTGTGAGAGCATGATGAGAGAGAGAGCGTGACGTAGGCATTGTACAGAGAGAATCTTACAGCTAACCATAAAAAAGGGGTTGAATAGGGCCTGGAGATCGCTATATTACTCAAACATGCATGGATGACATCTCAAACCTCTCCAGGCATGTAAAATATTGAGTTTATGATGACAAATTAATTAAATAATTCACAATCTCAGTATTTTTCTAGAGTGATTAATGTGAATGTCAGGACTAGATTTCACCAGAATTCTGCCAGAACTAAAAGAAGTCCTACTATAAATCGAAACCAGGTCTAAAGTTGGACACACCACATACAAGCTGTTACAATAGGACTAACCCAGGCCTAAATCATGACTAAACCCAGATTAAACCAGGATTAAACCCAGATTAAACCAGGAAAAAAACAGGACTAAACAAAGACTAATGCATACAGGACCAGAACAATATGATTCACTCCAAATACAGGTGCACAGTGTAACTTTTCTGATGGGGGGAGGAGGTACACTACATGCTTGTCTCCATGGTGATGTTACTGCTTTGCCTTAAATGCTTCACAATATGCCTTTACACTAGACTATGTATCACACATTAATTCAGTTTGTGTAAAAAAAAAAAAAAAAATGCATTTCCAAGAATGTTCCTCAGTCTGGCATTTCCCTGATTCAACCATTAGGCCAAGTTACAAGTCAGATCTGTGGCGAGGTGAACCCTGCTTAATAAGAATGTGTGTTTTTCAAGGATTTAAGCAATAAATATACCTGTAACCAAATGAAATGAAAAACACAACAAGTTAAATTACATACTGTGGAACATATCAGGTAAAAAAATTTAATAAAAATGATCAGCGGCATGGAACAGCCCTCGCGGGTCTGGCTTCGCACTGGACTGACCCGACACTCCCTCAGGATGGATCTGACATGCCACTTCTCTCTGTGTTATTGTGACTTTGGGCTGTACATGTCAGTAAACAGACAGAAGTCATCACACACTGGATGCACTGACACTGATGCTAACATAGGAAAACATGGGTGCTCTCCCTCCGCTCAGTTTAATTTCTCTCCAGCGTCTAGGTCAGGAATCAGAATACACTAGATCGTTTGCAAGAACCCCGGAAGTTGTAGACTGCACACCAGCCAATCAGCGAAGAGCTGTGAGGCCATGATGTCAAACTCAAGCGCCTGTCTGGGTCCCTATTGTGGTACAGCACAACAGTAAACAAAGCGGTCGAAGATGGATGTAGACGAAGACATACATTCTGTGTTGGCAAAGATTCCCGAGATCGAGGATTTAAAGCCGGAACAAAGAGAATGTTTGGTGAATTTTATCAAGAGGAAAGACGTTATTGCCCTTCTTCCTATGGGATTTGGCACATTACATATGTCACAACCAGATAGCAGTGATTGATTAAATTAAAAAAAGTACCCACCTACCATCGAGCGAACGAATCCTAAAGCTGCGAGGTCAGACGGTTTCCACGAAGTGAAACCTGCTGATGAATCAGGCTACCTTCAATGAAACTAATAAGATATTGTATGATTTTTAAATGTATGAAAATTTGGAAATGTTGCCATAAGGATAACATGGGCACATTCACACATCACCATGGCAACACGGTGAAAAATACCATGACTTTTTTTCGTCTGGATGACATGAAGAGTCACTGTCCCAAGTTTCACTTCCTTATTGATTTTAGTTTTTTTATGGGACATTTTATGGCCATTATACAATAACATGGGCACTTTGGGACATCGCCATGGCAACACCGTGCAAACTACAATTTGGCCCCCTAGTCTTTTTTGAAGGAGAATCGCTGTAGAGAACCCCACACAGAAAAGCTGCACATTACACCTTTAAAGCTCATAAAACCATCCAAAAAGTAAATCATACAGTAAAATCTATAAATGATTTCAGTTGCAGATTCAGACTGTATTTTTTTTTTATATTTTTTTCCCCGAGTTTTGCTTGCAGTGCCTTTGCTGCAGTAAATCTAAACAGAGCCTGGGGGTAGAATGTGGGTAGCAACAACGTGTATTTCTCAGCAATACTCCTCCATACCCACTCGCATCCATACATCACCATTACCCAGGGCTAGCACTTCCTACACACTCCATTTTTAGACTTTTATATATGTCCGCAATCAACTCCTCATCAGCTAGCTTTTCTTTGGCCTCGCGGGCTAATGTGTTTCGCTAACATGCCAAACCGCTGTGTCTAAGCATGACGCCTCTATCACTCACCTGCGAGTTAATAATGGGGGGAGTTTAAACCGTGGCTAATTTCCTGTAATGACTTCCATTTCTGAGCCGCCACTGTCCGATCGATGGTTAACAAAAACGGATTGGAGCCGGGTTTGCACGGGGTAGGTACGAGGGCGAGGGAGATGAAACACTTAGAAGGAGGCATGGCGTTATAACGAATGAGTTGCCCAGCTAGCCTGTCAATTTGGATAAGGTGGCGCTATTGATGACTTTGTTTGTGGTACGAGCCAGTTCAAGCATGTTAGCGGCCATATTGGATTGGTGGGATGGAGGTGATTTTTAAAAGGTCTTATTTGTTTGTTGT